ACACATCAGACACACAGTTGTGGCTTTGTGTCTAAACATGCAATGTGACTACAGTAACGACCTACGGTAAAGTAAAGTTCTGCATAAAACCTTATACAGATAACTTATCTTGACCTCACGAGTTCTAGAAATGGACGAACAGAGCCAAAACAACACCAAAATTCACGCGATGACCGCCTCTTTATTGTCTTCATCTTAAATTTAAACTGCGAAGAAGGGTATACAGTCGACCTGACAATAAGTAAAAAAAATCACCCACGTAACCAAACTTTACATATTCAAATCGAAGTAAATGAGCTTACTTTTAAACTTGTGTACAATCTGAACACATCAGAAAAAGTCGGTTTTGTATCCAGATTCTTTCCATTTTCGTCCAGTGGTCGCACAAAATCAAGACACTCCTGAAGTACGATCAACTAGCATTCAGTAAAACAAAGACTTGTGAAACTGAATTCATTCATAATCGTACAAGTTATACGCGAATTCTCTGCTGGAATACCACGTCATTAATACAGATTCCCGAAATTTGTAAAAAAATAAAATCTCTAAGTCATTTTTCTCTCCAGGAATACTCTATTCCATCATTTTTCGGTCGGAGAGAATACTCACACTCACACTAACTTCACAATACTCACACTAACTTCACTGAAAATTTTACAACGAAAATGCAAACGGAATACTAAGCCGCAGAAGCACATATAAAATACCATCGTGTGTCCTTCAATTTGTCAATTCAAAAATCAGGACCCCGATAGCTTTTCCTCCACAGCTGCCTACACGCAAGCTGAAGACGGATTTAACTCGCTGGTGTATGTCATTACCAGTTTACCATCGAAATAAATGAGTGAATTTCACAGGGATTGGTTGTTCCAGCAGTAAATTGAAGCCTCAATCTCCTGTAAGACAACAGCGCCGTTTCCCATGGCAGCATGTTCTATTTGCGCTCAGTTTGCCTATCCTTAAGTTTAAAAAAAGCCCATTTAGTCTCATCTTCATGAATTTTCGTGTATTTTCGGACCCAGTTCTTAAAGAAGTCCCATTATTATAAATTTTTGATGCATTTTTTCTTAGGATCATAGCCCCTACAGAGGGGAATCGAAAGACTTCTATTAGATAAGCTAACAGAATTTAAAAGCAGCAAGTAATAGTAAATGGTAAATAAGGTAAATAAATAAAATAAGCGGTAAATGCCACCCATTTTACATTTGTCTACGGATGAATGGAGAATGAAAGTTGATAGATGAATGTCAGTATCACCAGCACGCTGTTCACC